GATGATGATGATGATGATGATTGTGGAGATTATCACCATGATGATGGTGATTATGATGGCGATGATGATGTTAAGTATGATGATAATGATCACGATGATGATGCTGCTGATGATGAAGATGGTGGTGATGATGACGATGATAATGATGCTGCTCACTGGTGATGACAAGGCTGCTGTTGCTGCTGCTGATGATGATGGTGATGGTGATAATCATCATGCTTATGCCGCTGCTGCTGAAAATGATGATGATGATGATGCTGGCGACGATGATGATGATGATGATGATGATGATTATGATGGTCATGATGATGCTGATGCTGCTGATGATGATGAAGAAGAAGATCGTGACCATGATGATGACGATGATGTGATGATGCTGATGATGATGCTAATGATGATTGTGATGATGTTGATGATCATGCTGACGTTGCTGATGATGATCACGATGATGCTGCTGCTGGTATTGATGCTGATAAGGGTGATGCTGATGTTGATGATACTGACGACGACGACTATAATGATGATGCTGCTTACTCTGATGATGACAATGCTGCTGTTGCTGTTGCAGGTGATGATGCTGATGATGATGATCATCATGTTTATGCTGCTGCTGATGATGATGATGATGCTGCTGCTGATGATGATGCTGATGCTGATGCTGATGCTGATGATGACGATGTTGATGATGATGATGATGCTGATGATGATGTTGATGATGCTGCTGAAGATGATGATGATGATGATGATGATGATGATGATTCTAATGATACTGGTGAGAAGATGATGATGACGATCACGATGACGCTGATGGTGATTCTGAGGATGCTGCTGACGATGATGATGATGCTGCTGATGATGATGATGCTGATGACGAGAATATGCTGCTGGTAATGACGATGATTCTGATTCTGATGGTGATCACGATGATGATGCTGATGCTGATGCTGCTGATGATCATGATGATGAGGATGGTGATGATGCTGATGATGATGGTGATGCTGATGCTGATGTTAACGATGATGATGATGCTGATGATGATGCTGATGATGATGATGATGATGATGATGATGATGATGATGATGATGATGATGATGATGATGCTGATGCTGAGGCTGATGCTGCTGCTGATGCTGATGCTGCTGATGCTGATGCTGCTGATGATGCTGATGCTGATGATGATGATGCTGCTGATGATGCTGAGGCTGAGGCTGATGCTTATGCTGCTGATGATGATGATGAGGAGGAGGAGAAGGAGCAATGGGAGGAGGAGGAGGAGGAGGAGGAGGAGGAGGAGGAGGACGAGGAGGAGCAGAAGAAGGACTCGGACGAGGAACTGGAGGTGAAATAGGATAGGAGGCAGTGGAGAAGAACGGGGATGGGGATCCGGGAGAAGGGAGGCAAGAGGGCGGAGGAGCGGGAAACAAAAGTGAGAGACCAGCAGTGATGTGTATGAAGGAAGGGGAGGGAGGATGGAGAGGGGCGAGGATGTGTAGGAGGATGAAAGAGGAGAGGTAGGGAAGTTGCGGAGGAGGCGGCGGCAGGATGACGAATGATTAAGATGAGGATGAGGCCCGAATGCCGAATCCGATGTTTCCTGTGACCTCCAGCCCCAGGAGCCAGGGAACCACCTCCATCAGCTGGCGGGGGGGAGGAACTGGAACGGAGGAGAAGGGAGGGGGATGCGAAGCGAGGGGGAGGGATCGAGATTGCGCCGCCGTCGCCCGTTGTGCAGGCGGCACGATTTTCGCAGCAGACGTGGTCCGCTGCCGTAGACGCGCTTCGCGCGAGGTCTTCGGAAAGAAAACAAGAAGTGAGGGGTGCCCCGACCAGGCCAAGAAGGCGGGCCTTCCCGAGGGTTGTTCAGGCAGCTCCCCCTCGAGAAACGCCCGCAGCCCCCTCCTCCTTGGCCTCGCCAGGGCTTCCCTGCTATTCAGGGGGTACTCTGGATCGCTTAATAATCGCCTCCCCCTTGGAGTGCCCGGGGGGGTTGGCCGCGGCGCGTCCGCGGGGGTGCCAGGGAGGGTCTCGGGTTCGTTCCCTTCCCCGCTGGGGCGCGGGGGTGATGCTGGGGGGGGTGTTGGCCGCGCCACGTTTTCACGCTTGTCACCCCGTGGTTGATTAATAAGAAAGTCGGGGGGTCGGCAGTGCAGCGCAGGGGCTGATGGGGGGGGAGCCGCCTCGCGCACGGAGTCCGCGCGCGCCCAGGCTCTTGCCAGGCACCTCGGGGCCCACCTCGAGTCGATCGATCGAGATTCCTCCTCCTTCCTGGCCTCCTGGCCTCCTGGCCTCCTCACCTCCTCCTCCTCCTCCTCCTCCCATTCCTTCTTTTCCTCCTCCTCCTCCTCCTCCTCCTCCTCCTCCTCCTCCTCCTCCCCCTCCTCCTCCTCCCCCTCCTCCTCCGACATCGATCTCGGCCGGGCCCATTCGCCTTGAGCCCAGTATCCCGACGATCCGCTGCGGCCCGATGCTCAGCACGGCGCTGGTGTGCAGCATGGCGCCGCCGATCCGATCCGGACTCGCCGCCTCGAGGCGGACGGATCCTGCACTGGCGCACACCGGGCCGCCTGGTTCACGCATTGCCTCGCGGCCGTTCTGGCTCTCTGTAGCCCCGAGCGTGGCAAGCGGATGAGGTCCGTCTGTTGTGGTTCCGCGTGGCTCTCCTGTGCTTGGAAGGTTTCTCCGAAGGGCCTAGGCGACCCCTCCTCCTCCTCTTCCTCCTCCTCCTCCTCCTCCTCCTCCTCCTCCTCCTCCTCCTCCTCCTCCTCCTCCTCCTCCTCCTCCTCCTCCTCCTCCTCCTCCTCTCCTCCACCCTCCCCCTTCCCCTCCTCCTCCACCTCCTCCTCCTCGGGTCGCCTACGGCCCCGGGGGAAACCGTGCACCTGTGATGGGATCATGGTGGCGAGCATTGAACGGGATGGGAGTAGCCGGCCATGCCCTGTCGAGTGTCTCCCTGGCGGCCATTCCAGGAGAAAGTCATGGACTGCAAGTGCATAGAGTCGCCCATGTTGAATTATTTGTCTATCGGAGGGGATGGTAACGTAGTGACGAATCTATCTTGGACGCACACACAGCGAACGACATGGGCGATGGGAGGTCAATAGGAAGGCACGTCTTTGCAGGAATAACATTCCTAGAAAGGCAGCGCGGGACGTAGAAAAGTGCAGCTGTGAGTGGCAAGTGCTTGCGGGTCCAATGGATGGCACAGAACAATGCGATGTCAGAATAATGGGCACATATGGGCAGGGTGATACATGTGGAGAACATTGTAAGGGGTTCGAGGTACAGACGTGTGTACATGTATATATTTGTCGAAGACGCCTGCGGCGAGCAACCGCCGCCCCCTGCCTTTTTGAAGCGCCCATGTGGCCGACCGTTGCGGCCAGAGCTCGGCCAAGCTCTCAGACTGTGTGTTTCCTCAGCCGTTGAGGAAACCCTTCGAAAGAAGAAAAGGAGTAGAGGGAGGCAAAAGGATGAGGATGAGGATGAGGAGGCCTCTTGGGAGCTTCTTGGGCCACTCTTTAGGCCTCCTGGAAGCTTCCTGGGGGCCTCTTGGAGGACCCTTGAGGGCTTCTTTGGACCTCTTGGGGGCCTTCGGAGGCTCTTGGGAGGCTCTTTGAACTTCTGAGGGCGTTCCTGGCCTGTCTGACGCAGTCGAACGCCGTGTTGGGGGCCTGTCTGAGCCGACTTGGGGCCCTCTTGGGACGCTTCAGGGCCATCCTGGAGGCCATCTTGGGCGTCTTGGAGGTCTCCTTGGCCGTCTTGGGGTCCTCTTGGAGCCGTCTTGGGGGCCTCTTGGGCCGTCATCCTAGCGGCCTCTTGTGCGATCTTGGCCGATGCGGCACCCGACTCGCTCGGCGAATGAAAGCGTTCAGCGCAAGGTGAAGAAGTGTTGGAGGTGTCAGATGTTACCTTGCTTGCTTGTTTCCTCGTCTCTCTGCTCTCTCCTCTCTTCTTTTCTTTCCCTCTTTCATCCCTATTACATTCGTCCTTCTTCATCGTTGTCCGCTTTCGTCTCTTCGCCACCTTCGCGGGTCTGGGGCAGGCCAAGACTCCGAAGCCGGGTTCGACTTCGAGAAGCACCGCCAGAAATCGCAGTTGGGTCCAACCTGGGCAGGAGCAGGATGAGGGGTATGATGATGCTTATGATGGTGATGTGTTTATGGTAGTGGTGGTACTGATGCTGCTGATGACAGTCACGATGATGATCATCATCGGCATGCCAATTGTCATACTGATGATGGTCATCATGATGAGACTGAGGATAATGTATCGATTATGATACTGTCGGCGATGATGACTGGCATGAGGACGGGGACGCTGACGCGACGGAGGATGTGGTTGAGGAGGCTAAGGATGCTTCTGCTGCTGACGAGTGTGAAGATGACGATGGTGCCAATGATGATGATGATGATGATGATGAGGATGATGATGATGATGATGATGATTATGGTGGTGGTGATGGTGATGGTGATGATGATGTTGTTGATGATATTGATGATAAGGATGATGACGATGATGATGTTAGTGATGATGCTGCGGCTGATGATGATGATGGTGATGATAATGATGATGAGGTGGTGACGACGATTTCGACGACGACGTCGACGACGACGACGATGATGATGATGCTGACGAGGATGACGATGATGATGATGATGGTGATGATGATGATGATGATGATGACGATGACGAGGATGATGATGACGATGATGTCGATGATGATTGATGGTGATGGTGATGCTGATGCTGATGATGATGATGGTGATGCTGATGCTGATGCTGCTAATGCTGATGCTGATTCTGATGATTATGCTGATGGTGATGGTGATGATGATGATGATGATGATGATGATGATGATGATAATGATAACGCGGATCACGACGACACCCACGCCCACGCCGACACCGACGCCGATGACAAAGCCGAAGACAGCAACAACGACGACGACAACGCCGACGACTGCGATGACGGCGACGACTGCCGATTGCGACGACAACGA